TTATCTTGGAAAAAAGAGCTTACCACGATGATGGCTTTCTTGCACGGCCACTTACGATTTTTGCTGAAGAGACTCGTCCAACAAGCTCTCAGGAACGAGAAACCCTCTGGGATCATTAAGACTAGTACAGTCATAATGAAAAGAGTTTCTCGATTTTGCTTTGGGTCTTTCTTCTGTATTTCAGTGGCATTTGCGCTATTCCAATGAAAGGAAGCCATAGACAGCAAAGAAATTTTGCTGGCGACAAGACATGTTAGCACGGAAGCGAACAGGAGGATGCCAACGATGCATTTTGCCACAGAAAGCCACACTGAAGACCTCGAATCTTCCTCCTTTTCGCGATGGATCTTCGCAGTCTGTCTGACAGTATACTCAATCTCGTGAGAGGTTCCTGCAGCCGGTGTTCGCTCAGAAGCACTCATTATTGCGGCGTTCCCAATGAAGGTTGTCCGTATTAATTGCGCCGTTGAATCATTGTTCCATGTCGTTTGCAGGGTTCTTGTTCGAGTTCTAGGAAATGCCGGAAGCGAGCCCGCGAACGGGCCCGGGCAAATAGACTGTCGTGAAATTTGACCTTGCAACTCCATCTTAACTCAACGTTTGGAACAATGCTTTTGTTTTAACTCCTCGGTGGATATGGTAGATTGCCCTCGGTTTCTTCCGACATCTTCCGATTTTGCTCTCTAACACTGCTCGGTTCTAAAGACGATGGCGTAACCGAGTGGGGAGGGGAAGGGTAAGCATCCCCTGTCATGGGCCCTCGCTTTCAGTTGTAATCAGCTCAGGGTTATTGGGCAAATTTCCGATTGGCTCCTTAGGCCCGGTTTAAACGTCGCACTTTACATGCGCCGAATCAAATACTAATTTTAGTCGACTCGAATGAATTTTTTTTTTTATTATTTTAAAAAAATTAAGTTTGATTTTTTTGCCGAATTAAATTGCTGAGAGCGAGCGATAGCGACGTGTTAATTTCCATTCGAGCAAACATAATCTATTTAACCTAATTTATTTCACATAATCATGAATTAGATTCGGCACATGTAAAATGCGGCGTATTATTTACACACGCAGGCCAACATATCTAGACTCGGCTTGTGATTAGTGCGGATTGCACTGAAGCTAATACGCTTTCGCAAGCCCA